AGACCAGATCTCCCTCATAGAGGTGATGACCTGGTGATGTATGATGGGATGTCGTGGAGTTGCTGATAGATGCTGGTTGATGGACTTCTGTGTGGGAATCATGAGAACTAGTATGATTGAATAAGATTGATGAAACATTTGACACATTACAAGTCAACATGTTTGCTAGACACGTTCTTCAAAACAACTAACATTTTCCAAAAACACAGAAAACCACAGAACAAAAACGCGTAAAAACCACACCCGCATAACGTCGTTTTCTGTAATAGTAATAGTAGTTGTAGTAGTAGAATGTAGTTGTTTTGGGTGGTGGTGTCTAGTGATTTTTATAACTGATAGTTGTTAGAATAAATGTATTATTGATGATTACGGGGTTTATTAAACTGAAAATCTGTTTGGAAATTGGTATTAAAGATGCTTTATTATTTTAGGTTTTCATTATGAATCTCATTTTGATTGATTTGTAAATACGATACTCTTTGGCATGGTTACGAAAATATATCGTAATGTACGTTAACGATGTTTATTTTCGATGGGTGTTTAACTTATATTAGTGATTTTTAGTATGTTTTGACGGTTCTTTAGATTTTTGGTTTAAGATTTACATGGTGAAATCGGTAGCTATGTTTCGTGTGATCGGTCGTGAAGTGCTTGTTTTCCTTGTGGTGGTGTTTCCCGAATAATAATGGAGATTGCTTTTGATTTCGAAAACAGCGTAATTTGGAGTTTGTGATTAACTTTAGAATTTTGGTCTTTGACACATGCATACGGAGGGTTATTTTAGGACAATGGTGTTTCCGCAATTTTAGGTCGTGGCTCGTGAGTGATGTTTATTCAATCAAAACCAGGATTCGATTGTACCGCTAGTGTCTCCTTGTTACTATTAGCTACGGTGTCCATGAGATGGGATGCATCCTACATGGCTTTCGTAAGATAATTAATATAACTATATTAATACGCACCATCGTATGGCTAAATCCCACATTTGTTTGACCATGAATTTGCACATTGTTTATATTTTTCAATCGACTTGGAGAGGATCTACCTTACACGGTCTAATTCATTCAGCAGCAAAGGACCTATTAATCTCTAAAAGAGAGATGGAATCACCTTCTGCTCACGGCCATGGCCAATGAAACCCCAGATGTATGTATCCATGTCCCAGATTTTTGGACCTGTGAATTCACTCCCCCCCTGATGTAGTGGATCCGCCGCCCACAACTCAGGTCATCGCCCAGCGGGTATTGTTCGGAGGGACTGGAATCGCGAAATTGCTTGGCAGGGCAGCGTGATGTGTGTGCTCGGCTGGGTGTTTCTATAGTCAAGGTCAGGTAGTAGGCAGAAATCTTACCGAACGAAATGTAAGCAGGAGGCCTCCTTAAGTGCCGTATCATGAACATCTTTTTTTTCATTGCTTGCTTGCTTCCTGCTTACTGCCATCCCTTTGCATTCATGGAACAATCAAACCCCTTTTTGAAATTCACACTTTTTGCACTTGCTTTTGGCTTCCGCCCCTTCAAGATCCCTCTATTTCCCTTTCTCTCTGAGGTCCCAGGTGGTCAGTTAAGTATTAAAACATTAGAGCAATTCTATATATATATATATAGTTTCCTCATTGAATTATGTATTGGTTTCATCAAATTTCCATGCATTCTTATTGATATCCTGTCATTCCGGCGTTATTCATTGTTTTCGCGTATCTTTTCACTCCCACTGGCAAAGCTCCATAGTAAAGGGATGCAGATCTGAACTGTCAGATAGTCATTTGTGGGAAGACAGGCTATATACATATAGTGCCCCCAATAATAGAGGAATTTGCGATCTGACAGTTCAGAAGTTGACAAGACCACTTGGAGCTTGTGCCACTCCCTAAATTGCTGGACAGTAGTATGCAGATGTAGCGCCTGCTTACTACTCCCTCTATTTGCCTTTCTCTATCTTTCTCTCTTTGTTTCCACGTGTCAGTTACTTATGTATTTTAAAACGTATACAAATTCTATACGTTGATCATTAAGTTATTCACCGGCTTCAGTAAGTTTCCATCCTACTGGCTAAGCTCCATAGTAAAGGGGTGCAAATCTGAACTGTCAGATAGTCATTTGTGGTAAGACAGGCTTTTTGCATATAGTGCCCCCAATCATAGAGGAGTCTGTGATCTGACAGTTCAGAAGTTGACAAACCAGTTGGAGCTTGTGCCACTTCAAAATGCTGCACAGTAGTATGCAGATGTAGCGCCTGCTTACTACTGTCGGTTGGTGCGCTCTGTTTTTCCCCCAACCCGAAACATCCATGCACGGGCATCACGCCGGTTCCACTTGGGAAGGCTTCCAAGCAGCCGCGGGCGAGCAGCTCTGAAGTTTAAGAAAAACTTGTTTGTGTATCTATCTATCTATCTATCTATCTATCTATATATGTGTATACACATTTGGACATGGTACACAGTACACGGTTAGAAACCTACAACACAATGGTATTCTTAAAACAACTGTGAGTATGGTTATGCTGCCTGCCTTTCAAAAAGAAAAGCCCTGCGGCATCAGTTAGATGGGTTCTGCAAGGAAGCAGTTGATCTTGAATTCTAGTGGGTCACATCTCGCCCAAGCTTGGCCATTAAGGCTCCTTTCAGGACTTGAACTTTGCCTGCTGTGAAACTGCAGCCCGGATTTGCCTTCAGATGGCATTGCCAACACCACAGCAAACACTCAAGCAACGCCTGGCACGGTCCGATGTAGCCTCTTTTCTGCAAGTGGCCCCATGAGCGTGCAGCTGAAGATTTCTCGCCAGGATCTGTCGGATATCTCACCTGCCATGATGAAATGGTCAAGTGGACCCCGATTCCCACCCCCTGCACGTTGGGCACATCCGTCAGCCCAACTTGTTGTAGGAAGACAAAGGATGGCAGGCCCTTGAATGACCCAGCAGGTGCTGCCACGGCGATGTGAGCAGGTTCTTCACTGGAAGCTGACTGGGCGGACTTGCACACAAAAGACTCGGATCCTTCTTCCAGTTCCCATTCCACCACATCTTCAGCCTCAGACTCACTACCGGCGGATTCTTCAAGCTGCTCCTCACGTTTGGCATCCATTTGCTCATCCTCGTGCTTCCTAGCTGGAGGCATGTTGGCGTGCAGCGCCTCTTCTGCTGCTTCGTCATGATCATCATCCTTCTTTGCCAAAGCTAACTGGTACTCCACCTCATCCTTGCCATCTTGGTGTCCTGCCAAGGTTGGGCCAAGCCCAGTAAGCAGTAAACCATTCCTGCTTACTACAGCCACCCATGTGTTGATAGACACGCACACATCGAATTCCATGAAGCAAGTCTTTCAGTTAAGTGACAAACAAAAAAAATATATATATATATAAACAATGGAACTAATTGCTTTGGCGCAAAGTATATATATACTGTATGTGTATGTACGTATATATATATGCATAGAACTGTGAACCTACCAGGCAATTGCACGGTCCTTCAGGGCAGGGCTCTTGTGCGCCAGGCTCTGCAGCACCTTCCTGCGATTGCCCAGTTGTCTCGCTCTTACCTGACTTTGGCTTGGGAACGTCATCCATCACATGGGAAGTGCAAAGGCTCAAGGAGTTCAAATGCACCCGGATCTCCTGCGTGTCTTGGGCAAGACCCCTCACACTGACAATGCGAAGCTGCCTTGCGGGGGGTGGCTCGGCAGTCTCAGTCTGACCCAGCGCTTGCAAAGTCATATTCTTGATGTTGACCTCGTATGCCTGGACCCTGTTGCTACATGCAACCTTGGTGACGCCCTTGTTCTTGCTGACGGACTTGTTGTAAACTCCTGGGCTTGCTTCCTTGAGCGTGGCCTTGCTGATCAGAACCACCGACTTGGCACCTTCCCCACCCTGCATCAACTCCAGTTTCTTGAAAGCATTTTTGGTTTTGATGTCACTGTCACCAAATCTATCTTTCCGAGATTGGTACAATGCCTCAGCATCCTGGATGGAGCTGTGGAATTCCGCCAGCTTACCATTGAGGATTGTTTGCCAGTGAGATGGCAAGCACCTGAAGTTCTCAGCAGCTTCCTCTGCCTCCCACGACTCTGCCGAATCATCTTCTCCCTGGATGTCCTGTATTTGCCACAGGAAGCAAGTCTGCCAAACATCCGGAACTTTGAGCACGTCCTCCACTAGGCATGCCATGGCTCTTCCTGCACTTCTTTCTCACACCTTTGCATCTCGACTTCCAAAGTTTTCTCCGTCAAATTGCAGTCAGGATTCACTTCTATCATCTCTTCCATGGATGCCATTCCTCTTGAGAGCCACGCCCACCTGCAAAACAGCTGACCAGACCCAAAAGAGAATTTAACTGGTACCATCTCATCTAACAGCACATGTGCATGTACATGTACAGTCTGCTTACTACTGTCTACAGCAACAAGGCACCCGCCTCAAAACATGCCGCCGCTTGGACAGCCGCCGCCAGCCGTACACAGCAGCATCAATTGAGTCTGCGTGACTTAAGGCTTGGTGTACGTTGCTGTTCGACTGCAGGATTGGGTCATTGGTGGCTCGCTTCATGAGTGGTGTGCGTTATCCCAGGCTGGTCTCTGCCCACACCGACATATACTTCCTGTAGATCGCGTGGATAGCATCGCAAGGCTGACCTCTTGCCGACCAGCCGCCAGGTTGGCGGTTTGGCAAGAGCACGCGGCTGGTCTTGCTGAACAGATCGCCTGAATCTCAAAAATGGACAGAATGCAGCCATTAGAGCGCTGTACGGTTTCCTATCCTCTCTGCCCAATGGTATGCCAATGTGGGGCCACTTGTGCAAAACCTTATCGCGAAGCCTGTCTTCCCTTCCTTTGGCCTTTGGTGTCCTATTTGTCTAGTGCCCTATACAACTAGTTTCTTTGGGGCTGTGTGGATGGGTGAAAAGGAGTGCAGTAAGCAGATTCTCAACTCTGCTTACTACTATTGATGTGCATGCCAGCAAAGAAGAGAAAAGAAGGTGAGGAATAGAAAGAACCTCCAACCCGGGATGATCTTTTTGTCCCAAGCCCCAGTCCCAAGTCCAGGTGAATCCTCAGTCCTGTCCACCATCTCTTCAGAATTCAATTGGTGATTTTTGCACAGTCTGCAGGCGGTGAAGGTTGGTGAACTTGATCATTGGAGCTTTAGTAGGCAGATTGGAATTTGTTTACCGCAACTAAGTGACGTATACATAGTTTTTCCACATTCCCCTGGAATTCACCTTTAACATTTTCCTCAAAAATCTTTAAGACCCTACCCCTACCCCTCCTAATAGTGGGGGAACAAAGAAGGAAGACCCCTACAATATATTTTATGATCCCTGCCCCCCCAAGAAAGACGATACATGGAAAAACTCTCTAGCAAAATTCTTTCGTCTTCCCTTATTCAAACTCTATCAAAATCTTAAGGTTTTCACGCTCACCAACGGTACCCCTCACGCTGGCCCTTCCCCACGCTAGCTCCCGCTGCTTTAGCTGGTCTTCAGGGTCTCTTGCTGCTGCAGCTACCTAATCGCAACAAACAGATCACAGCTGCAACCTAGAAGTCGCGTGCTTCTCTCCTTCCTCTCCTCTCCTTCTCCTCACTCCTCGTCATGCATCCTCTTCCGGATTGCGACAACGGTGCATGTCAAATGGGCTGCATCGCTTCATCTTGGAATCCCAGCACAATTGAGTGATGTCTTTGGATTCTCCGCACGCATCCCTGTCCCTGTCCCAGTCAAACCAGCTTCTGGTGCACACTTTGTTTTCCCAGTTGCGCTTATATAGGATTGTTTCACAAATATATATATATATATATCTGTATATATATATATATATGTTTGAATACTCTTAAAACCTTTAAGAGAGAGAGGAAATTAAGGAATCGGACCAGCAAAGCATCCAAAATTGATACTGATGCTGAGGATGATGTTGTAATACTATGGCAGTAAGCAGGTTAGCATCTGCTTACTGGGGTCGCTGGGAAACCTGGAGGTCTCCAATTTGGATGTTTATCGTGTTCACAAATGTCTTGAACAACTCTTGAAACCTCAAGGAAAGGCAGGAACTGAAGGAATTTAACCAGGAAACTCTTCAAAAACTTTGATTTTTCACAAATTTTCCTAAAAATCCTAAATTTCAAGAAATGGCCTCAAACCTCTTGAAACCTCAAGGAAAGGCAGGAACTGAAGGAATTTAACCAGGAAACTCTTCACAAACTTTGATTTTTTCACAAATTTTCCTAAAAATCCTAAATTTCAAGAAATGGCCTCAAACCTCTTGAAACCTCAAGGAAAGGCAGGAACTGAAGGAATCAGACCAGGAAAATAACTAAGAATTAACAATTAACTAGCTACTTTTGGTGCACGGTGGGAGCGGGGTCTCCCCCCGTTACTTGGAGTCCTGAAGGAACGGACCGGTCACTCATCACTCCTTCGCTGCCGGTCCTACACGGCGGTCCGGGTGCCGAGAGATGGGGCCGAGACCTCTCCCCCCGTTAAGGGAAGAGACACAGAGACAGGGGGAAAGGAGAAAAAGTGCACCAAAAGTAGCTAGTTAATTGTTAATTCTTAGTTATTTTCCTGGTCTGATTCCTTCAGTTCCTGTCTTCCCTTGAGGTTTGAAGAGTTTTGAGGCCACTTCTTAAAATTTAGGATTTTTAGGAAAATTTGTGAAAAAATCAAAGTTTTTGAAGAGTTTCCT